TCTGGTTAAATTACTATGTGTGAGCACAATATGCAGGCAAACCCCTGTATGAATTGCATATAAAATAAACCATGCCTTCAATCCTTTTTGTTTTCCCAAATGTTCAGTGTGATTGATATCACATCTCTGATATATGTCAGCACAATGATAACTGATGTACCAAAATGCTTCTTTTCTGAATAAAATCAAATTCTGTTCTTGTTCTACAGCTCCCAATGTTTTAAAGTTTAATTCTGTTATGTGTGTTCTCCCCCAACAAACCCCCCCCAAACCGGAATGGTACAAACTGTTGCACACCAGCGGTGATGGCTCCAAGGGACTGGCTGGACGGAGTTGTCATGTGTCTGCCTGTCTACACTTGCTGTGCAGAACATCCTCTCACCTGTACAGCAGGCACAGACAGGCAGTCGCATGACAACCCAGCCTGAGGGACAGCCGCCAGTGGGAAACCGCTCTGACACACCAGAGCATCTTCACCAACAGCTCCAGCCAAGAGTCACTCTGGATCTCAGACGGCCGGTCAGTAACCAAGCCGCGTACTGCAACCCACCTAGAGTTAAAACCAACACTGCCTATAAAATACAATAAAACCCACTGCTGAAATTTTTACTGTGCTTCCTATAGTACTCTTTTCCTAGTTGTTCTCATTAACTCACTAACCATAAGTTTTATTTATACGCAGCTTTGCGGCACCATTGTATGTTTCGTCCTCTCATTTACTTGTCAGGCATAACTCCAGCAACTTACATTATTAGATTATTGTTGGTATAAAAATCACTAACATCCCTGCTAGCCACAGAAGCCAAGAGCAGCTTATTGTGTGGCAAGTTAATTTTGTAAACACACACAATGTCAGGCCTTAGAGTAACTTCTCCCCTTTCCACTTTCTCACCTCCTCACTTATTTTTGTATCTCCCTCCCAAATCACGTAAAATTTTACAATTGGGAATAAACTCTGAAATCCTAACACAAACTGCATCTGTCACTGGATGCTGACAATACTATTCTCTCCTATTGAAACAGAATGGAAATATTTTATTGGTTTAAGACTAAAGGGGATTTTTCCAATAAGTGTAAATTTCACATTTTTAGAAAAGTTCTTATCCTAGAGTGCAGCTTGACATCCTTCGCACACCAGTAATGCCAGCGAAATCTCTGGATGCTTTGTAAAGAATAAAGTCGCATTCGCTGACCATGCCCTGTAAAAATGTTACACCACTTTACAAATGGCATCCTTCTGTTTACAACAGAAAAGAGCGTTTTGATTTATAAGCTAGGATGGCGTTCCGCATTCCCAAAGTCCATTTTATCCTAAAGTAGAAGTGGCTATTTCACAAACTTCCTGTTTGCAGGTTGACTCTCAAATGAACCTTAGCACAAAAGCTTACAGCTTTTTGCGCTATTTAACAGAACAGTAACAACTGAGAGCTAAGATGCTCAGATTTAGCCTTTTGTGTGTGTGTAGGTATGCTTTATAATACTTTAGCTAGTATTACAAGGAATAGTCAACGAAATAAATCGGTGTTTGTGAGGTCAATGAATATGCTAATCTTGCACTTAACAGCCTCGAAATAGTACACAATATTTTTCCTTCATTTTATTTTAAGCAAGTTGAAAAGCACAAAGTCACGGTACTAGTCACGCAGCAAAGTTATGAACACAAGCAACTGTATGCAGGGTCAGAAACTAATCCAGATTACTACTCACATAACTGATACTATAACTGCTTTAACCACACTGTTCAAACATCAACTTGATATTTCCATATTTACAAGCCTAAAAAGCATTCTTAGGCACTGATTCCCATCTCCTCGGGAATAAAATCCTGTTGTATGTTTGTGCAGCAACAAAACCACGTCAAGAAAACAATCGTTTCTTTTATAATACTGATATCATACAACAAATTTTGACATCTTTGGCCAAAGTAACTTGCTTCAAAATACATTCCACTGTGGATTCTTCACTTATAAAAGCTGCAGCTCACAAATAAAGGAAATAATTTACATCCTAACGGCACCAGCAAGCAACCACTTGCATTCAGAGAGTGATTTTCATGTCCGGTAAATTCCAGACTACAGAAAATGGGCTCAGCTTACACTAGAGGGGGTACACAGCCCTAGAGGTCCGAGCAAGCGCTGTAGCTTTGTAAAGCACATTGTCAGAGCTCTCTGGTACACAAGCTGCTACAACATTCCTTACTCAGGGGTCAAGGCGCAGGGGGAACCAAACTCATCACTGTGGCAAGAAAACAAAGGTGAGACCTGACTTTCTGCATCTTCTCCAGCTGCAATGGAGAGGCTTTTGCTACTGTGCAAGGACCGCAGAAGTGATGGGCCGAGTGGGAAGCACGGGGGATCTTGAACTCCCTACGACCTCACAGCGTGCACAGCACTACTGAGCCCAGGCACGGCCCAGACACATAAACATGGGTATCACTTCACACATCACGCAAGACTACATATCTTACCGGGGTGGGAATACACCAGCATGCAGCCATTTCGATAATCGTCTGAGAACAGGATGTGACAACTACCAAACCAAGCTGAAAGTGAGGAGAACATTTTAAGGAGAAGAAATGTAATTATAAAAACTGGAATTCAGCCAGGACATCAAATATTTGCTTCTTTATTCTCAGAAGTCAGTAGTTCTGTTTCTGAAACAAGTCACTGGTCTTTTGATTAACCTAATGGTCAAGCTGTGGCTTTGACCATCTTCACAAGGTATCTAAAACAGAGCTTACTAAGTTTTTTAAATTCTTCTGAGAAAGGGCCAGTAAAAAAAAAAAAAAAAATTAAAAAAAAAATCCAACATAACTTTGTGAACTTTTTCCCAGGACAGAATAATCAAAGTATACAGCAAATCTGTACTTAAGGAGGAACTTCTGCCACCAGCAAAGCATGGAATATGATGCTGTTATCTTCTCTTACCACTCTAAGAAATTCCTGAGTGATGTCCCATGTTGACCTGAATGAACTACTGGTATTTTCACGACTATCAAAACAAAACTGTTTGGCAATTAAGAGACATTATTTTAAAATATGCATATAAAAATCAGACAGTGGCCAATTCCCTCAATGTACTATTCTGAGATTCTCAGGTGACACTCTCTAAAAATAAATTGTTTTGATAGCATGCTAAAGTTGCATAACAGAAGACATTCCATAAACATTTTCAGGAACTTTCACATCGCATGCTTAACAAAGATCAGACTCAGAAAAGCAACACCAAAACTACCTCAAAAATTGCCACAGCACATCTTAGATGCACCTCCAAGTGCCTGAGACAGAACATAGCAAGAGGTGTTAACCTCACCACATCACTTATTTTAGTCAGTTACCAGTACTTAATCTAAGACAAGTTCTAGTAGCTTCAAGGTAGATCACAAAAAACATAAGCTTCAAATTTTCAAATTCATAAAGGCACCTTTCCGTTTCTTTTTAATTCATTTTTATGTCATTGCAATAAAATACTTCCAATTATATTTTGGTAATCTTGACACCTCGCACTTGGCTCCTCCCCTCTGTCTGACATGCATTCATTTTCCTGTTACAGTAAATACATTTGAATCCCTTTACAACTTAAATACAAGAGCAAGGGGCAAAATCTTCAAGATGAACCTAATTTGTCCCTCAATCTTAAGGTCTTTCCCAAAATAGCTACTGACTCAGGAAAAAAACACTACTGACCAATACAGTTTCCACCATCAGCAGGATTACTGAAGTAACTACCTATGATAAGTACCAGAGTCTGAATTCGCAGGACTCAGCAGAGCTCTGGCTTATGTATGATGCGCTTTGCAGACCTCTCCCCAGCAGTTCTAGAAGATCCACTGCAGTAAAACACTAAGTTACTTTAAACAGCATATGAATTGTCTGCACAGTACCCAGCAACCAGCTCCGTTTTCTTGAGGTAAGCCAGTGTTTTGATTATTACTTAGAATAAGATGAAAAGATTGAGTGATGGTTTAGAGCTCATTTAAGTGTCTCTCTTTACCTATGCTTCTTTCATCCAATGAAGTGGTTCACCCTAAAAATTGCTAAATTTTTGCTGAAAACATTTAATTTAAAAAATTATTTAAAAAATCAGAAAAATTACAGGATTTTTGGTGGGTTTTTTTAAAACGTAGCTCATTTTTTCTATGAAAACCAACACAAACCTTTAAAAAACCACAAGGGCTTTACTGTAGAGCTGACAGTACACCTAATAATCCCATTTTAAGCTTAAAAAATTAACAAGGACTACTCTTCAGTTTTGGATAGAGAGTATTATTACCAACATTGTTGAAAAAAAATAATTAAACAGAACAGACAAGCAAAAAATTGGTTCCCAAAGCCGTCTAACAACATATCCAATAAAGTGAGCAACCTGGATGCCCTATTTCTCATAGAAATGCTTTTTCCAGTTCTGATATTACTCACTTTGGATTTACTGATCAGCAGTGATATTTCTTATCAAGGTGTATTTTTTTTTTATTGGATTTTCAGTAGCAAATTTAAAAATCCACACCAACCAGCTGCAGAACTCTGCAGACAGGCTTTTCAGCCTCTCAGAATATGAGGCCAGAGAACAACTGTTATCACAACATTAATTGCTGTAGTTACTTTTAGGAGTAACTTTACTTGGACAATTTATGATCAACTTACAGTAGGTGTGTAAGAGCAGTCCAAACAGGCATAGGACAATAACCAGGACATTCCAAAACATTTTAGACCAATGTATGGAAACCACAGGAAGAGAGGAAAAAAGTAAAATGAACAGAAACACCCCACAGAACACCCTGTATTTATGTTATCAACATTTCAACAGAAGTCTTAGAGGGTCGGCATTCTCCATGAATCAAAACCAGAAAATGCAAAGGACACAGGTAAAACCTTAAAACATTTTTTTAGTTCAAGTCTGTACAACCTGATTTAATATTTTAAGCTGGTATTAGAAGACTGAATAAATACTGGTTTTTCCCCAGTTAAAAAAAAAATAAAAAAAAATTCTTCATTCCTTACCTCATCATCTTTATACCAGGACAAGCTTTCTGCAGTTAGAACGAACCAGTACTCCTTGGATCCTCCTTTCATGATGCCAATATTGTTGATGGTCAGCCAGCCTTTCCGGATGACCTGTGCAGAGGTGCAGTCAGGCACAAGTTTAGTTCATTACTCACTTGACATAATTCTGCTGCTGCATTCATTCTTTTAAATAAAGCCTTGCTAAGTAAAACAAGAACAGGTGCATTTTTTCAGTCTCTGGCAAACTCAAAACAGACATTTTGCAGGTTCCTATCATTCAAGGAAAAAAAAAAAGTAACATAAAGTGAATATAGTGTTTTCAGTCAAAAGGTTAGAGAAACAGAAGCCTAAGTATTATCTTGTTGTACTTACAGCAAGCAGGAAT